AAATCATGTACTTAACAATATTAACAGAAAAAGTGAGATTTTTATTAAAAAAAAAAACTCATAGGTTATAAAAATCTATGTATTTGAAAATATAGTCTCAAAGCAGTAGTATTTTATATTTCAAAAATCAGAAATTGAATAAATGTATTGTTGGTGTTTAGTCACCATGCATGATAAAGCATTAGCACCTATATATTGCACGAATCGATAGATGGCTGAACTCAAAACTACAATATTTACTGTTGTTACTTGTTTCGATAAGCATCCATCGGATATTAATATGTAAATATATACGATATATTACTAATACCATGCTAATACTTAAATATAAAAGTAAAAACGAGTTTGTCAATACAATACACATTTATAGCAATAGAAGGGTTTTGCTATAACTACTTCTGAGCAAAGAATATAATAGTGTTTTCATTTATAATAATAAATTAAAAATCTAATTATTTTTATTAGATACTTGAGCCTTTTTAGATTATCATACACGGAATTAATTTTTTTATTTATATTTAATAATATAATGAGTGTGTATGACGCATACATATACGAAAATAAAGAACACTATTTTCCATATGTTTAAGTTTAAGATATATCACCTACACAGTGTTTATATTTTTAATGGCTATATTTCAATTTTAAATTATCTGTGTGTTCCTAAATTTATCAGATTGATCGGCCGCTGGATTTTATTGTTCCTAATTACAGCAGATGACCAATATAGGTACATTTATGGCCAAACACATGGTACCTAGGTATATACCTACATATTTTATAATTTACTATTATACACTTATAAAATAGACTTATAAAATAGATTTATATGATTTATATAATACATATATAAAATATTAATATATTATACCATTTTATAATACCGACAAACACCTTTACTATTATGTATGAAATGATAATGATGAATATGTTAAATGTAATTCTATTAAAACTTAAAAATAATCTACCTGCAAGTATAGAAGCTATTTAAAAAATATATAATTAACTTATATTACAATAAAAAAATATTGAAACACATACAGAGTTAAAATACAATAGTATAGTAACTGACAGACTCGATATTATATAGCCAACACTTGTTTTGTACCTCACTCTGCACTCATATCGATAGAAGACAGAGCTGAATAATAAGTTATTGCTTTAATTTAAAACAGTAAAAGAGTTTCTAAATAAATGAATGTAATCAAAAAAATATACAATAAGACTGACGTTCGCCAATTTAACACTACGATTAAAACGTGTTCGATAAATAATAATAATGATACATTTATCCTCGAATGTTTTTAAATTCTTATTAAGTACAAAAAAAATCATAAATATGACAAAATAGTCTAAACCATATTTATATTGTATAAACATTTTATATTGAACTTGGACAATTTTATTTCGAATCATAAAATGAATAACTCAAAGTTGTAATATTTACTAATTTTATATGATAAAAGTAATTTATAAGACAGCTCAATGTGATTTATATGTTCAAAATATGTTACAAAACAACTTCAAAGCCACATCTATATTTTACTGAAATTGAACCATTATAAATTCAATATATTCATTGTAATATTGGAAAGGGCTTTGTTATTATTACTTATTGCGCAATTTGCATTTTGTAGGTAGTCATTAGAAATGTCCATAGAATAATTGGCAAGTCATAAAAATTACATTTTATTAAAACAGCGTTAAAACTGTTTTAAGTGCCCAACATTGTCGTTTCATAATTTCCAATCGTTTGAGTGAAAACTTATTATGGAGCACTCCCTCAAAAACGTGTACCTACATAATGATAAAAAAAAATTAAAAATTAAAATTCTAAACCAATCGCTCATCTCAAAATCTCAAAACGTGTATGCAAGGTGTGTCATACACGTTTTGGTATAGATCATGTCTCATAAAAAAAAACACACACACACATTATATGGGTAGCTGATAGCGAACTGTATCAACCGGTTTGAACCGTTTTTAAATAATATGAAAAAAAAAAATACACATACTAAATTCAACACGCGCGTATATCTTAATACCTATACTAAAAGAATTCGCGGGAAAACGATACGGGTAATGTATTTTTTTTTCACCTACAAGTGTGCAGCGTGTGAAATCGCAATTTCCTTTTATATATTATAATATACACTATCGTACTCCACGTCGTCGTCGTCGTCATATGTATATATTTATCATAGATATATAGGTCACCGTGTCTCCGGTACATAAAGTATAAACCGCTATATATCGGTCATATAATAAATTTATAAATATATGCCTACTGTTGCAGCCTTGTCGGGCATTATAATATTATTATATCTATAACACCTGATGGCTAAAAATAAATAATAATAACAATAACGTACACGTGGTGCATGTACAATAATATTATGTGAGCATGATATGGTCGTATTATATGCATAATATTGTATCATATACATACAATATTATATTATATTATATACAAGCGCAATAATCGATATTGTCGAATTGCGGCGGCACAGGTATATAGACGGCGGCGGCAGGTGCTGCGCGAGTAAAACGACCGCCTCCGCCGCGTTATCGCGGAACTAATTGGTACCTACGCGTTACAACAACAAACGGTACCTATGGGATATAATATGGAACGTACGGGAATTGGGGATCCTACGGGATCGGATACAGTGGTACTTGTATAGACTACTCGGATTTTATCCCGTCTATCGACTATCAGTAGGAAAATGTCAACGGGTTTCCGGCACGATTACGGCTCGCCTCCATATTACATGGCATCATTGCGAAACGAGGGATAACTTTAATGGGTATAGCTGCAAATCTGTTTTGAACTTACAAAAAACATGACGATTTTCGTTAGTGCAATATTGTGCGTCTTACGGGCTGCGGCCGACGACCAATAGGTATTTGTATTACCTAACTATATATATATATATATAATTGAATTGTCTTATTAAATATACTACGTGTGTAGTGTTGTGGTCAGCCTATACGCCGATAGATCGATCACGGTGCTCGAGTATGCCGGAAAAACGAAAACCCGACAGCTCTGCCGTGTACCTATCTATATACACGGTGAAAAGGGTCAAAATTCTAAGACTCAATCGGCGATGAGGTACCTTCAATAATAGCTCTACATATACATATTATGCAGTATATGTATGAATAACGAATATCGTATATAATATTCGACGACCACTGTTATCGTTTCCGAGCGATGATGATGGTGATTATGAAGATGATGATGATGGCGATGATAATGATAATTATGGTGATGATGATTATGATAATAATGATAATATTACAATCGATTAAAATGTTTTCGTATATACACAAGCGTGACCGTCCTCGTGGCGGCGGGCTATACGCGTGTTGCGCGCGCAAATCGGCGGCAGCGGTGGCGGCGGCAGCAATAATACAATTATATTGTTATTATTATTCGATGCGGCGCTAAAAGGGAATAAAAAAAATACATCCCTTTTACTGCCACGTTTATATACACTTTACGTATATATATATATATATGTATTGTATAGGTGCTATGACAACGGTGACGGTTTTGCTCACCGGTAAAGTCGCCACCGTCATCGCGCGGGGTCGAGCGGGGCGCCGCCGCCGCCGGTATTTTATTTTATTATTATTATTATTTATTTTTATTATTTCGAACCCGTCGCAACACGGTACAGCACACACATACACACTCACATATATATATAATATAATATATATATATATATGAATGTACATAGGTACACTGCAGCGCGGCACACAACGATAATCTCTATACTACCCCTTAGCGGCGGCGGCGACTGTTCGTCTCTCTCGGGGACACGCGCGCGCGCGCCGGCGAGATTCGGTTTCCGCCGCCGCGCTTTCCACCCGGGCGCGCGTTAGTCTGTCGATCTCGCCGGTTTTCCACGAACCCACCACCGCACCGCGTGACGCCTACGTCGTCGTAGACGTCGTCGTCGACGGTGGACGCGACCGCCGCGCCGCCGGCAACAGAGAGCGCCGCCGGCGGTCGCAGCGGCAGCAGAAACCGCCGCCGCCGCCGCCGTCATCGCCGGGGCCCGGAACCGCGCGCGGCCGTCCTCCCGCGCCCGCCCGCCCATCGCCCGTCCGCCACACACCCCTCTTGCCGTCGCCGGCGCAAACCTCCCGGCCGGGCGGCGGTGGCAGCTCCAAGCAGCGGCGGCGAGCAGTCGTCAGTCGGTCACGGCGTCCCGGTGAGCGACGTTTGTTTGTCAGTGCATGTGTGTGTCACAGTCCGTGTGCGCGCGTGTCTGTGTGTCAGCGTTTAGTGGTGTGTGCGTGCGAGCGATCGTTTCACCCGGCGGGGCACAGTGTGTGCCGAGTCTTAGCGTCGTACGGAAACTCGCCGCTCGACTGGAACGGCAATAAGAGAGATAAGAATAAGGAAACCCGTCGGCGGCACCGCACTGCCACAACCGTCATCGTCAACGTTTTTTTTTTTCACTCCTACTCATTTTTTCTTCTCGTTTTTCAACCACCGCAAGTTTCGACGATCGCGTGGAACTCGTAATCGCGCCCAGACGACCCTCAATCCAGCGAGGGTCGTTTTATTAAATTCCGAATCGTATAATATATGTTGACGCGATTCCATTATATCGTACACGACGACCCTTAAATGCATACTTAAAAAAAATCCCCCTTTTCGAATCTCCGTCGTCTGCTATAATACATCGTTACAGTTGCAAATTGTTATAGATTTCGCTGTACGAAATTGCTGCAGTGCTGCAGGCGGCAGGAAAGACTATAAATATCGCAAAGAGACAGACGGAAATAAACACTAAGAAAGAAAAAATAAAATAAAATGATCGTAAACTTTTCGACGCTCGTTGAACGACGAAGAAGTTACTTCTTTGAAGGGCTCGGAAGTCTTAGAAAAGTCGCAGTGGCTAAACCACCGCCGACTTTGGCGTTGTCTTCCGTTCCGCAATGTGTTTAATCCGTTGTAAGAACATTAGTCGTTAGTCAGCATGATTTGGTCACTAAAGTCTTCGGACAGCGGCGGAGAAGGTGGCGAAGAAGATTCAGGCGGCGGGGGTGAAAGCTCCAAGGCAGTCAAGTGGCGACGGCATGGTCGTCGAGTTTCAACCACTTCATCATCAACAACTTTGGGCTGCACATGGATGATCCAAACAATGTTCGTCTTCTTCTTGATCACCGGCACGGCAGCCGTGCTATCCAACTCCACGTTCAAAGGTATCGTTGTCAGTTAATTGTTTACTCCATATTTATACTATACCTAATACATAATGCAGTAAAACCATATAATATACAATATTATGTTATCGGTGTGTAAGAAAAAATAGCGACTGATCCCTCTAGACTTAGGTTTGTCTAAGCCAATGCCACTGCGGAATTGTTATTATGTGAATACACGACGACGTACCTTTGCGTCTGGTTGTATTTGTTGACCGCGATGGACACGGCTATTCAAAACGAATAAAAATTAACTTTTCGTTCATTAAATTCGAATTCGTATTAATAATTCTCACGCGGATATTATGTTTATAACGCATTTTAGTGGTTAAACCGTGTACCTAAAGCTTTGTGTGTGTATGTGTGTGCGTGTGTGTTGTCGATATAAAACACGCGAGAACAACGACATCAACCGTGGTCGGTATCGTGTTGTCGTAACGCGATAGGTATATCAGTAGAGATCGAATTGAGCGGGAACGCATATATAATATTATAATATAATATCATGAAGGCGCCGCCGATAAGGATATAATATTATGGTATAGTTAATACTTGGTAATAATAATAAGTAACACGAAAAAGGTATATACATATATATACAAACACTGCTGTAATGACATTGCAGGGGTTATAATAATATGGTTTACGATGTATGCCTATTGCGTATATGGTAACCGATACGATGATACCTGAAAAGACCGAGTGCCGTTGGACGGGGTTGTGGTGGTGGTGTTGGTGCACGTTGGCTATTGTTTTTTTTTGCTTTTCATTATTATTATTATCATCATAATAGTGTGTTATGCTATACGTCTATATTGCGTACTGTGTGCAACTAGATATAATATATTATATTTCGGAACCCTATATTGCACGAAGCGACGTCTCGGAAATCCTTTCTTAAAAATAAGTTTCGCAAGGAAGAATTTATCGGAATAGGCAACCTGCCCGAGGAGCACAATTATACATATATATTATTATTATAATACGAGTATAGATTCCCATAGGAAAGTCGGTAAGGAAAACGCGTGCCTTACCTAAGCCATTCGAACGTTCTCGATAAGATTCAGACGTGTGTGCGGGATGGGGCGAGGGTAATAGTTTCCAAAATCTCAGCATCCCCGGACGTAAAACACACCCCTCCTATAATAGTTCCTATATTATACTCTTCTCGTCAATCGCGTCGTCGGGCCGCGGGTGTAAAACACTCTTGCAACGCCGTAACTACCACCACCATCCCCGCCACTTACGACGAAACCCGGTGGCTGTAATAATATTATATTATTCTTTATTACCCTTAATGTTATATTATTGTTATGCGTATAATATTATATAATAATAGTCAGTGGCCCGTCCGTACGCCGTTATAATAGTATAGTACCTATAAAATATAATAATTTCATCGTAATATTAATATTATCATAATAATATCGTATATTATGCGCTCTCGGTTGTATTATTATCTCGCCGCTACGTTCTCGTCCGAACGCCGAGGAACTACGAAAACGCATCGTCGCTAAAATACAGCAGCAGTGCTAATAAACTGTGCGGTTTGCGGAATCCGACGATCTCGCTTGCTTGTTCTGTCGTACGGACGGCCGCGTAAAAATAGACTCTCGAGTCTCTGTTTTAAATTTAACGGGGAACACGGAGGCGTATATCACGCGTAATCGTACAGAGTGTATAAGTAGCCGACGATGTACATATATGCTTGCGCGCGCGCGCGCGCGTGTGTGTGTGTGCTGGTGTGTGTGTATACGTATCGCACACACACACACGTGTGCTGCACATATAATATTATGCGCGCGTATTAAAAGTGTCCGGTTGGCGATGGCGGCGATTTTGCAGACGACCCGCAACGGCGCGCCCGTCAAGTGAATAATAAAATTCGTCGTCGCCGCCGCCACCGCCGCCGATCCATTTATTATTAAACACGCATAACATAATATTATATAGTATACATATACATGTACGCGTATCGCTGCACGGTCGTGCGACGCGAGCGATGCGTCGTACACGCGTTTATATATAGAAGCGACTCAAGCGATTCGAAAGTTACGCCGCGCCACCCGTTACAAGGCGTCATAATATGCGACGACGTATGCGCGCGTGTATAATAATAATGTAACGTTTTATAAATATACCGACTACGGACGGCGCGGCGTCAAAAGCTTCGTCGTGGTCGTCGCCGTCGTCCGCGTAGTCGGAGTCAGTCGCAGTCAGCGACGGCGGCGGCGGCGGCAAATCGCATCACTTTGCGAGACGTTTTTATTTTATAGCTAATTTTTTGTCCTATGGTCAACGAGCGTGTTTCTAAATATGGAATCGTCCGCTCGCCGTTCCGGTCGCTCTCGTTACGCCGGCGTCGCCCCGTACTCTTCTTTTATAGCAGCTCCCCCTCAAGATACACTATATACACCCGTGCGTCACTATACACAATATAATGTTAAGTAATAATATAATTATAACGTTTTAATTATTATTATTATTTTCCGTACTGGCGCAAGAGGACGGAATCGAGTATAATAATAATATTTGTCTAAATCGTTATTGCCGCGCGCCAAGACTGTGTGGGCCGCGGCCAGGACGTGGGCGGCCGCGAGTTTTCTTCCCGTATATTTTTTTCACCGTTTTCATTCCATATTATTTTGTTCGTCTCGCCCACGGGGGAAAGACAGAGAGAGAGAGAGAGAGAGAAAGAGAGAGATATCAAGCGATGGAATAATTCCTCGGAGACCTACTACAGAATTGCAGTGTGTAGAGGTCCTCCGATCCGGCTTAGGTCGGCCCGATGAGACTCAGTCGTCGCTGTTGGAATACATATAGTCGCAAGGCGCGCATACCTATATATTATGCCTAGTGGTAGCTACTATATAATATACGACGCATAATACATAATATAATAATATAAGGCTCCGGAAATTCGATTGTGCTTTTGGGCGCACGGCGTTAACGTTTGAAATATTAATGTCCAGTGCAACAGAGTTAAATCACTCGCGATTTTTCCGAGCCGGCTATTAAAATCGTCGTGCGCCCCATCCCGCTTCGCATTATACTTCTGAATAAATTTACCGCTCGCAATATGCATATTGTATAGACGCACACACACACACCATGTATATGATAACGTAAAATATAAGTTTAATAATAAATTAGGTACATGTAGCTGCATATATACAACTTAGGTACATATTTTAAACACAGTGTAGGGCGTAGGCCACTATGTTTTCCCGTTTTTCCACACACCTATAATACAGAAAACCTGGTAAAAATTATATAGCCCACCCTGTCTGAATAATATATAGAAATATATATATTATATTCATCCCCGCGTTGTACATGCGTGAAACTAGTTCCCCAATGTTATACCATATTATACGCTCTCTATCTCTCTCTTTCCATATATATAATATATATATAATGGTCGGGCGTTTCGCCACGAACGACAATGCGTCGATGCTTTCGGGGCTTCGGGAAATCCGGCTGCTAAGACGGGTGGTTTTTCCCACGAACGTAACGTAAGCGCCTTTGTGATTACGCGGGCGCATCTGAGTGTGTGTGTGTGTGTGTGTGTGTGTTATAATGATAATGACGATGATGGGAACCTCTGCAGCGATCGGGCGGTGTTTAGGGGAAGCGAAGGTGTGTGGCGTACTATACGTCATTGCGGGTAGACAGGTAGGAGATTGGCGCGTGTGAAAAACTCTCAATCACCGCTACTGTTATACGTATTACGTAATACGTATATGAACGTAAAAGTACCTATCTACCAGCGTCCCACATATACGTTCGTACTCCGTAAACCTAAGTATATAATATATAATACATGTGTGTGGGTGTGTGTGCAGATGAGAGCGCGAACTTATTGTGTTCGCGTCGTCGTAAAATATTACACCAGCTCGTAATGCGCGTGTATTTCCACGTGTGTGAACTGTGAAAACTCTAAATAAAAAAAAATAAACAATAACCTCCCGTATACGCCGAGCGCGTTGAAGAATAAATTTCGGAAGAAATGGGTATAACGACGGTTGAAATATATTACGTTCACAATATTACTGGCGCGTATACAATAGTAATAGTCATAATAATAACAGGTAGTAGAGTACGTATATATGACACAGTATAAATACCATCGTTATAATATGTGCTGCTCGTAATGCGTATATATACGTCCTAATTGCACGGTAATAGACGCGCGACGATATGAAAACGTTATAACGATTTAGTCGGAGGGGTGGAAAAATGCAAAAAAAAAAATATATAAAAAAAATGCTTAAAACGCTATTAACTATGTATAGCCGGCACCTATATATAGTGCATATACAAATACACGTTCATATATTATAATGTGTGTGTGTGTGTTTGTGTGCATAGGGCACTAAAACTACACGATTACCGCGATTGTATACATAATATACGCGACGGTCCGGACACGGGACTGTTTTTTTTTATTATTATTATTTGTATATACACGAATACAACTCGCGGGTTTACGGTCGTCGTAGGTATATGAAACGCGCGTTTACATCACCAATTATTATTATACAAGTATAATAATATATATAACATAATAGCAGCAGCCAGCAGGTATAATATAATGACTGCGCGTACAACGGTTGACATACGGATGGGTGGGTAGAGTATATAATAATAACAACGATAATGATAATAATGAAAAAAACATTGGATACGGTACACTGATTGTAAGTCGATCGCCTATATTATAATCGTCGTGTGAACTCCGTCCTTGGCGGTGCTTGATGGATGCGGTAGGTGCCCAACGACGATCGACGCGTGACGACGAGACACAAGACGACGGGAAGAAGCGTATATTAATGGTGCGGTACATGGGATGTTACCTGGACAAAAAAATAAAGAATTAAACAGGTGTTTTTCTTCGACTTCTGCTGTTTTGACACTATATGGCGTTTCCGGCCGCTCGAGCCAAGCCGTTGTTTTCAGCCGTTAAGGCTTTTTTTTTATTTTTTCATTACTCTCTGTACCGTATAATATTCATCCG